ATGTGTATATATATATATATATATATATATAAAATGGAATATTACTCGGCCACAGAAAGAATGAAATATTGTCATTGGCAGCAACATGGAGAGACCTATTATACTTAGTGAAGTAAGTCAGACAGAGAACGACAAATACTATATATCACTTATATGTGGAATCTAAAAATAATACAGATGAACGTTTATACAAAACAGAAACTGACTCACAGACATAGAAAACAAACCTGTCATTACCAAAAAGGGGTGGAAGGACAAATTAAGTGTATGGGATCAACAGATACAAATTACTACACATAAAATAGATAAGCAACAGTGATAGATAAGTTACTGTACAGCACAGGGAATTATACCGAATATGTTGTAATAACCTAAAATGGAATATAATCTTGAAAAATACTGAATCGTTATGCTGTACAGCCAAAACTGACACAATATTGTAAATCAACCGTGCCTCAATAAAAAATAAGTAACCGATATACAAATAAATACTTGCTAAATGACATTTTAATTCAGGAAATGAATTGTCACAATATCTAGAAAGCCTTTTCCTACCTACCCAGAGATTTCATCAGATAGGGAAGTTTTTAGCTACTTTGGATGAAACCAAATGGTATTATTTCTATAGGGACTTAGAGAAACAAGAAGTCTCTTAAAAACCTCATTGCCAAATTCAATAATACATCGCCATGTGATGATAAAACTCAAACTGGGGCTGTACCATCCTGGCAGCCACCCAGAATCATTCTGCTATGACTTAGAAATGCTAATAAAAGCTACAAATATGCAGTTGACCTGTAACGTGAAAGGACTTCTATTTACGTTTCTGAAGGAAATTGAATCTTTCTTCCAAAGTTTCCTGCATCCTTACCAATTTCTGAGGATTTATAGCCATCTATTGTTTTTGATAGAAATGGAAAACATGTCAAACATTTGCAGTCTGAATAAATGTTGACTCTTGAAGCATAATTCACTTTTCTCTAAACTGGGCCCTAAAAAACATTTCAGAGTTGATTTCATCAATTGATACCTTATACATCATATTCTGGCAGGAGCAATACACTATAGAATATTCATCAGATAAGAATCTTATCTTGTACATAAGAAAGTAGTTTGATGCTGCATTTGCATGGTAGCTTTTCCTCTTTAATAATCCTACTACCCTGGTGCAGCACCAAAGTTTAATTTTTCCTATGCTTCTGTTTCCAACTGTCTTCACCAACTAAAACCCAGTTTATATTTCCTATAAAGGCAAACAAAGGTAGTAGTATAAAGGGAATGGAAATAGCTTTGAATCAAAATTGAAAATCAAGGTTGGGTTGGACTCTATCACCCCTGAACTGTGCGACCTTCGGCAAATCTCTGATGCTGCTGGTTTCCACAAGGTTATCTTTATACATTTCAGAGAGTACAAATTATGCATCTCATTCTGGAAACTTTACTTTCAAACAGGAAACCATTACTCTGATTCATTGAATATAGCATCCAAATCCTCACTTCGGCTTTTGACAGGGTACCAACGATCTCAGTGTGCCTGGGACCAAGAGGGTTCCCAGGACATGAGATTTTCAGTGTTAAAACAGGGAAAGTTGTGGGCAAACTGGGATGAGTTGGTCACCCTAACCTCTGGGATCAGACCTGATTTAACATCCCACTGGAGAAAAGAATTAGGAAAAAGTTTGGAAAT